TCTGCACGGTTTCTGCTGGCGGTCTACTGTCAAATAATATCGGTGGACTCTGCTGGCGGAACACGAGTTTAATGCGGACGCAGTTGATGCTAATCTGCCGTGATACGTTCTGCTCGAATCTGCTGGCGAAATGCTAGCACATCGCTAGCACTTCGCTCACCGGGAATCTAAAACGGATTCGAACACTGCTATTCCATTCGCGCAATTTTCTGCATGGCAATTAAATCTCACTCTCTCCCGCGGTGTTCAGACATTTAAATCATGATCCGCCTAGATCTTTGCACGCCTCGCTTCTAAATCCTCTAATTCGACGAAGTCTTCCTCTTGATCTCGTCGCTAATTTAAAATATTTCTAAACGAGAATGCCAACGTGGCGTTAAATGCACTCGAGAATTTGATACGATTGCAACACAACGTACGTTTGCGATCGTCAATCATCGCGCGAGAGTTAAAAGACCAGATTTGACCCTGCGCCAAGTGCAACGACAAAGTAATGGACCGTCGTGCAAGGGCGGTCTGTGAACTGTCTTGTGCAACAAGCCTCTGGCTTATATCATTTTTGTTCGCCTTTTGGACACACGAACGGCTCGTACAGACAGGTTTATTTCGAATAATATTGTTTAGACGGATTCGCAAGCAGTCTGCCATCTTGTGTTTGCTCCGCCTTTGATTAATATATCTCTTCTGTCCCAGAAACGTCTATATCAATTTAAGTAGAATAAATTCATTCTTTCGCTTTCGTTTGAAAGATTGTAGAAATTAAGATGCATTGTCGTCTATGTTGCACAGAAATTGTCTAAAACTTTGCTACTACATTTTTTACGCTTCAATAATAACTGAAAAGTAATGCCAATATATGTACGTTTTAAAAATTGGCAACTGCGTTTTTGATCAAAACGCTCGATATGAAAAACCAATTCTTAATTGGATGCACGCGTAAAAAAGAATTCCAGACAACGGAATGTCGCGTTAACGATTCGTTCTTCGATTCGCGAAGAATGAATTCAGGGACTTTCGACGCATTCCAGAGTACAAAGAGTCTATTATTATCGTGATACGTCATTATTCTGACTCAAGCGGAAGGATACAAAAAGCGTAACACATGTTAAAATAGAACGAAATCAAGTTGCTGACGCGCCCTCTCTCCGTCTTTCCTTCTCCCACTCTCTCGGAGAATTAGATTGAATTCATTGAAATCTGCTCTCGTTAGTGATGAAGCCGACTCGTGAACTGTAGAGGACGTTACCTCCCAGAGGCGTAACGATTCGTGGGACCTTGAGCAAAATAATGAGGGCGAGTGCCCTCGTGGTAGAGAGAAACCTAAAGAGAAAGGAGAAACGAGGGAAGTCGGGAAGAAGGAAAGGCGACAGGTTTTAAAGAAAGGAGAGGAGGAAATTTCACGGATAATACCAGCTGATTACTGTGTTAAATAATATATTTAATTATATATATATATATATATATATATTTATTTATTTAATATTAAATATACATATAGGCATTCATGTGGGATATTCGGAAAGGATTTGTCGAAAAATTCTGGCAAAACCGCACATAACAGTCTTCAAAAAATTTTAAGCTATCAGCATTCTTGGAAATTTCTCCTAAATGTTCGTATTCTTGCAATTTACCAAAACAAATCTCGAAAATTTCGATTTTACAATCGTATACTCTGCGACGTCTGGCATTTTTCTAGAAAAGAAAAGGGGCTCCTTGAAAAATACGTATTACCTGACGTGTATAAAAACGTTCTCCGAAAGATCCGAATGCAATATAACAAGATATAAAAATCGAAGGATTTCGCATTCCTCTGGCAATAAGTACTTTAATCTTCAATTTTATCCTTCTTACTCCGATCGTGTTACATTCTCGTCATTATGTTTGAGTTCAACGAGATTGAGCTTAAATAAGATTCCACTGAAGTAATACACTAAATAAGTATACAGTGTACATACAATTCTAAGATCTACCGATCCTTGTCACTCATGGACCAAGCGCGGAGAAGACTGGCGGATAGTGAAGCTATACTTCGTCCATTTCCTTTGTCACGCCGCTACTCCTCTTCTCCTCCTCTCCGCCCCCCCCCCCACTTTCCCGACGATTGTTTTCGTCGACGACGTTGTCGCCGGCTGAGCATGCCGACGTAAGAATGGGAGCACGTCCGTGTGTAAGCATTTGCGCGGGCATGAATTAATGCCGCGCATACCGATGTCGAGAGAGAGCGGGATAACGGGTGGCCGCGGGACGACACGTGATTCCCCGGCACAGCGCGCGTAATATATTAACACGTGGTAACGTGACAGGCAATACGTTTGTTTCTCCGCCGTCGCCTTCGTCCGCAATCGAACGGACGCGAGAGTGGCGAGAGGCAATCGGAGATACCAGGGAGATACGATTGACGGAACTCTCGGGCTTGTTATTGTAACTCGCGCGCTTATCCGTCACGATGTTGATTGTTTCAATGGAATCCTAGGCTCACTCAGTCGTTTGATCGTACGTATAATAATAATACGACGAGAATAAAAGACAAAATAGAAGATTAGAATATTATAGAGAAAAACCTGAGACCGTTCGAAATCTTACCATTGCATTGATCGAAATATACTTTGGTCGTGCGATATTCCTTATAGAGAAGAGAATTAAGTTATTATAGATATTTACAGAGAAATTAAGAAATACATATTCATTACATTTTGCAAATATATCACATTTGTAGATGTTTTTTTCATTTCTCTTCGTTCAGAACGTTCGAAGAATCCTGTTACATAAATCCTGAGTATGTACTCCCGCATGATAAAATCCCGCCGCAATCTGCCGTTAATACCCGTAATTCGCAAATGATGCACCGAGCAGATAATTGAGGTGGAGGCAGAATCGCGATGAATCGTTCCGCGGCTGCTTCCCAAGATCGAACAATGTAGAGAGAGAGAAAGAGAGTGAAAAATAGAGAGAAGGAAGAATCAGAAACCAGAAGAGACCTTGTACCAATTTCCACGAAGATTTCGGACGAAGCGAGTAATTGTGATACACGATGGCCACGTTCTGCGCTACACGCGCGCGGCAAGAAGATTGAAAAGACTCAAGCGTGCGCGCTCGTACGCACATCCAAAAATACACGGCTCGACTCCTCGGCCAACGAGTTGAATCTGCCGTTCGCGCGCACGACGTATTCTTTCTTTTTCTTCTTCTCTCTTCTCTTTCTCCCGACACTTCGCCAACAGTCATCCGCGCGTCCCTCCCCGTCCTTGCATCCGCGCGCTGCGCAGATGCTCTCTATCATAATAATCTCTATTTCGGGCCGGAGGGTCGGCCGTGGGTCGCGTTGTCGCGCGGCAGATGTGTCCCCTCGTTCTTCATCGAGCTAAAAAGTCGTCGAGTAGGGGGAAGGTCGAGGCTCCAAATGCATACCGCACTCGATGGAGACGAATGGGCAAATAGACATTAGACGAGCTAGACACGTCTAAAAGCCCAATGGGATTGCTACGCCGCGGGTGAGAAGAGAGAGGCGGGAAAGAGAAAGAAAAAAATAAGGCGAGAGAATGACGGAGGAGGGCAAGTGACGGAGCGACACTTATATTATACTGGGCGATCGCACAGAGAGACTGTAACGCGGACACGTTCTTTTCTCTGATAATGCCTAGAGTGACAACTTAAGGTGTTTAGGCGGCAAGAAGAGATATGTCCAAAGGTATCATTCGGGAGAAAAAGAGAAAGAGTTAAAGAGACCACTGCTCGGACGATGTCAAAAGAATTTGAAATCGAAGCCAACTCGAGGTCTCTTTCGGAGATCCGGTTGCGCTCCAGCTTTGCAGCCTCGCTTATTACGATGCGCGTCGCCCGTGTTTGTTTTCTAGAATCTAGATCACAAAAGGAGCGTACGCGCACAAAGGGAGAAGGGCTTGCTATGACACAGATACGAAAGCCGATCGACTATACGCGCTAATAAACTGTTAATAATAGTTAATGCGACTGCCCGTTAGAGATCGATATCTCAATTACTATATATTGTATAACTTTTTTTCTTTTTTTTTTTCTATATATAATCTCCGCGAAGAGATAGCGCAGCCTCTTTATACTCTGGAAGTATCCTATGTTGTTTATTAGTATCTTCAATTATCGAGAAAACATCGCCACGCGACGCGGACGCGGCAGAAAAGTTGGCGCGATAACGCGATGTTTTCAGATAATCGAAGGATAATCGCGTCAATCACGTTATTATCATTAAAATATGCCACCGATATGATACAATGCCCAATGGCAATGTAAATACACTGCTGTGAATCACTTACTCCGCGCTGCGTTAACACATGGCACAGAATACCTTTACGCAGCGGTATATCGTGAGACTTTAATACGCTGAAAATTTTTCTATATCTCGGGAGTGGAGAGCAGCCAAATGTTGCTTTCGCGGAACCCACTTATGCACGCAGATCTTCCGCCTCGTCATGTAGCCGTCCCGTGATTCTCGCAACGCGCAGAGATGAATTTCCGTCGACGGTTTCGGTCTCGGCAAAATTTATGATCGCATCGAGACGTATTTTTTTTGTTTGCCTTCCAGGTTTTTGATTCCTCGCGATTATATCGGCGAGCGAGAAGTTGCGCGCCTGCCTCGATGACGCGGAAATTTCTTAGGCTTCGCGCAAAGAGACAGGCGCCCGGCAAAGTCTTCGTAATACCTCGCCTTACGGGAGACCCCACAATTGTGCAACGCAGTCACTACGTTGTTATGACGATGACGATGCAAGGCCAAACGTCCTAAATCGTACAACACTTGTTTATAAGGTCATTGTACTCTCGAGAGATATTATCGAACCGTTCGCGATTATTTTTAGCCGATGCGTCGTATTTGTGTCGTATAATGTATATTATTATGTCACGCTTTTTTATCATATATATTATATACATTAAAATTTATATCACGCGCGCTTAAAAATCTATTGCCCCTATGCAAATTTTTAATCGTAAAAATATAGGATTGTTTTGAAATGATGGCTCTGTGATATAAAGTATACTTTTAATTAAAGTAACTATTTCTACTACGCGTAATAGCTTTCACTCGTTTCTTCATTCTAACATGGTTGTGTTGATTACATGGCAAATATGAGTAATGGGAATAATGCAAGAGGAGAAGTGATAATTAACAGAAAAAGAAACCAATACCTAAAACTGATTGCATTATAATGATAATGTATTCTGAACATCGAAAACGTTTTAATGTTTCCTTCTACGATCCTTTTGACTTTTATTTCTCCTTCTGCCATTTTTCTGACGTTTTCTCTCCAGCAGCTTGCGTGCCTTCAAAACTTGTTCGGGTTTCTTCAGCTCGCTCTTTACTTTAATCTTGTCTTTAAGCTTCTGGTTGTGCCGGGCCCAATGTGTATTTGCTGTGGTCCGTACTGAAATGCAAATAAAGGGTCAATTATTTTTGAATAACGTTTGAAATGAATATGCGCAAAAAATTATAAAAGAAATGTTTTTAAATATACGTCAGTTAAATGTGTCATTTGATTAGATTAGAAACAAAATATATAACTTTTACAACCGATGTGATCATGTTAACTTACAGTTTGTTGTCTGTGAAGGTTCTTCCTCACTATCTTCTTCACTATCGTTTTCATCGATCTTACGCTTCTCCTTCCATACATTGTAACGATTTGTCTTGTACGTAGCAGGTATCCATACTCCCGATTCAGTGCGTATTTTTTTCGCCTTCGGATCCTGTGGATACAATGTAAAAAATATACCTGTATTTCACCATAAGTAGAAATTATACATGAATGCATGTATATACCCTTTCGACGGTGACCATTTTCTTCTTTTTCCTATCCCACTTTTTCAACTGCGTTTGAAGATGTTGGCCCTCTTCATTGTCTGCCGTTAAATCCATCTGCGCCTTATCAGCTTCAGTGGCAAATGTGTTAACTGCTAAACTGAAAAGTAAACAAACATCGAATACAAATAATTAAAAACTAAAAAAAAATATTATTGAATTGTGCATTTGATTTTAATATGAATATAAAATATATATTAATGATAATTTTAATATTTCGTATTACTTTCATAAAGTTGAAAAAACAAGTTATGAAAACCGAAATAAAGTGATTCTTACCCATCCTCTGTATGCTTGTCTGGTGCGGAGTAAGGTATATAATATTCTTCATCCCGTTTCGTTAAACGTTTCTTCTTTTTTGAAATTTTGTATAAATCGTCACTACTTCTTTTCTTTGGCACTACCACTGTGCTGAATGCAGCATTAATTTCTTCCGCGTTGCTGGACGGCAGATTAACTTTTTCAGATAATCCTATGGAAGTTGAAAAATTTAACTCGAATATTGTTACATATATGTATGGTACACATTGCCATCATAATATTTACCTGATGTCGTATTGATTTTATCAGTTTTATGCTCCTCCATCTTTTTGCGGAAATTAAGAATATTCTCCTTGTGAAACATTCGTTTCGCTTTCATCACCTGATAGTCAGTTGAACTTGTCTTCGTACCAATTTCAAATATCGTCTGTTACATGTAAAAGATTTTGATATTAAAATTGAAGTGTAACGTTTTAATATTCGTATGTATATGAAGCATCGTACTCACTCCTTGCGGTCTATAATTTTTCATCCTGGATATCATATCCACAGCTGTATGAAGAGCTGTATCAGAATACTCGGGTAAGACTCCAGCTTCGTTTATGCGAAGCTCCTTAATTCTTTTGACACTTTCCGCCGAAGCACCCGGTCGCGATCTGATGTATTGTTGATAGGCGTTGTTGCATACTTTTTGCATATTTAACTGAAGACATACATACTCGTTTAATGCCACGAAGAAACAGAGGATTAATTATACGAATTTATGTACCAAAATAGATATGTTCGGTATGCTCACCAGATCGGTAGAGGTGTTGTGCCAATTTATTAATTCAGCTAATTCTTCCTCTATCATAGCCTGTGGCAATTTCCCTACGGCGGATTCCATATTTTCATTGGTTCCCGCAGTCGGCACTATCGTTAAAGGCCGACCAAGGAAGAGATGCAGATCTAAGAGGTAAGGATATTCGTCGGAGCTCACGATATTATATGCCGTTCCAGCACGTCCGGCTCGAGCACATCGTCCTGCAGAAAAAAAAATTAGTCAATGTAATCAGTCAGGTTCTTGTGTTTCAATAACAATTAAAAATAATTGAAAACAATTACGAAAGAACGTACCTACTCTGTGCACGAAAAGTTTAGATTTTGCGGGAAAATTAAAATTGATCACGCAGTCAAGATGTGGTATATCTATTCCTCTAGCAGCAACATCCGTCACTATGAGAACTCTCGCTTTACCAACTTGAAATTTAGCTGCATTTATTTTACGCGCGGAAGGATCCAGATTCGAATAAATGAAGGTGTTAGATATATTCGCTTTATCCAATATCTGTAAAAATTGTTTTATATCCGATATATTCGATTACTTGTCTGCTAAAATATTTGCAGAATATTATTTAAAATGTACGATTATGTACGCCGATGATTACCTGATGAATATATTCCACATGATGCATAGTTTCCGCGAATATAATTGTTTGCGACTCGGGTTTAATAATTCTTTTTAGTAAGCTCAAAAGTACAGCTAATTTCTCTTCGGGGCGACACGTAATAAAAGATAACGTTAAACCTTCAGGCAGCTTACTCTCAACGTCCAAACGAAGTAAAACTGGATCGCTCAGACCAGCTTTCGCAAAGTCTACGAGAATCTTAGGCAAAGTAGCGGAGAATAGTAATGTCTGACGTGATTCCGGTAATCTGTTCACAATTTCTTGTATCTGTTCCCCGAAACCCATTTCAAATAATCTGCAATGCAGTTTTGTGTTAACCACGTCGCAAAAGAAAATGCAAATGTTAAAAATAACACACGAGAAATAAGAAACTGTTACCTATCGGCCTCATCAAAGACAATATATTCGACATTTTTTAATTGCAGATCCATCTCCACGCATATATGGAGAAATCTACCTGGGGTAGCTACAATGATGTCGGGATTTCCATGAATTGCACTAAACTGATTATCCATACTGTCGCCACCCAGTATCACTGCTGACTTCAATCCTGTAAATCTTCCTAACTCCTTTATAAACTTCAACGTCTGCAGTGCCAGCTCACGTGTGGGCGACAATATCAATGCGCGTGCACCCGTCTTTGCTTGCCTCGCCTTGAGTTTTTCAAACAGAGGAATTAAAAAGCAAGCGGTCTTTCCGCTACCTGTCCTGGCCATCGCTACTACATCTCTTCCCTCGAGAGCCAACGGTATGGTCTATATAAAAAAAAAAGTTTTATATTAATGTAAACATCAAGATTTATAGTATTGAGACAGCTGCAATTACAAATTGTGTTTCCTTATAGAATATACATGCATTTTAATAACCTTTCTTTGTATAGGTGTGGGTATTTTGTACCCACGTTTGAGGATCCCTTTCAAAATCGGAAAACTGAGAGCCATCGATTGAAACCCTCCAGATTTCTTGGAAACCTTCTTTTTAATTCTAGCAATTTCATTATCCTCATCATTGTCACTGACCGTATTTGGGTTGGCAAAGCCGACAAGATCGTCGTCCTTCATCCTGCTGTAGATTGGAAATATGTAAAAAATGATTCTATTAAATGTAAAATATACTGTATTAATATAACATTTCATTTAACAGATGTTACGTATTTTTCTTAAATATTTATCTTAAATTAATCAACACTTTTTTAATATGTTGTCAACATATTTATTTAATAATGCATAATCTTACTCTTAATTCTATCTATTAAAGATTCCAATTATCGAATGTCACATGGCACACACTCAAGCAACATCACATAACCTCAAAAAGCAGGAGGACCTTTGAGTATATAGCTTTGAATATATAGAGGAGGGGGAATGTTGGCTCGAAAAC